GGCACAAGTCGTTTGTGTTGCGTTTGCTTTACCGTCCGAGGCTCAGGCCAGAGCTGGGCTGAGATGGGCTGAGCTCAGCGTACTCTAACTCGGTGGAGCAAAGCACGGAAGTATCTGCACATCTGCATATAGCCTACAGCTTAGAGGAGAAGAGACGAGACGGCGCGGTATGTCCGGCTTGAGAGGAGTGAGGTGGCATATGCACGGCACGGCACCGGTACTGCGCGTTCGCTTGTTGCCCGGACTTTCCTTTGCAGTGACGGGACGGACGGGAGCCGGTGGACGGATAGAGGGGTAAAAAATTCGTCACTTGGCGCAGGCTGTCGAAGGCTGCGAGTATCCCGTAGGCTGCAGGATCAGACGAGGACAAGCAATGGTCGGTGCCAGCGTTGAGTATGGGTAGGGCAGAGCCAACACTAGAGTTGGAATGTTGGACAAATGGGCAAGCAGGCGCCGAGGGGGTTGGAATGTGGCTTGGCAGGCCTCCCGGGTAGCACAACACGGGCCATCCTAACCTTACATCTTTTCGTGCGGATAGTTGAGCATTCCTATGGCAGGTGAGCAGACTGCGGAAAGGTGGGTGGGGGAAGCGGGCGCGGGAGATGGGATGGGAAGAAGTGGGTGATCCGAAGTCATCGTCTTTTTAAGTTCAACTTGTGTTTGAAAGATCAGGATTGCCCTGCCTCACTTTACATCGTAGTTGTGTTACTGCGCAAGTTAAAATGTCGTGAGCACGCACAGGTACCGCGTAGCCGCACATACCAAGGTAATGTACAATGCAGCGGCTGTGCCTACGGGCATTGTAACTACCCTGCCCTCTTCTGCTGTAGTCTGCGCAGACGTAGCTTCTTCTTATTCTTCCTCTGCTGCATACGTAGTACAATTGTCCAAGGTTTGGGGGGAAGTGTATTGCTAATGTGGGCCTGAGATGACGGATATTGTTAATGATAATGCAGACGCACCGATCCTCATCCCTACACAGCAACGCGATATGAACGTGGTAGCGATGATGGATAAGCGACGCGGCTTGGATTGTGACGTGGGGACATTCCGACATTGAGGTGAGGAAGATATGGCGGAAGTATGGAGATGAGGTAAGGGGTGTGTGAGATTGGGATTGGGAGACAAACGTTTATTTTTACACGGTAACCCAGGTTCTTAATCTTAGTAGGGTGTCAACGGCAATCCGATTGCATCGAGCCGTTCACATCAATTGATTATCCGTATGGAGGACTCTCTTTTCATGTGCCGACCTGGATATAGAGTGGTCTCATCACAATCAGCGACCAAAGTCGGTTTAAGCCTGTTGGTAAACTGTGGTTACTGTGGTTCTCGACAGGCTTGTGACGAGATTGACCGACCTGAATTGATCAACGTGGCAGCGGCAAGAATTTCCCGTAGCGCCTGGGCTTTTGATCATTTTCATCTACTTTCCCAAGACAAATGGGGGCTGGGCCGCTGGAGGAAGGACAGGTTCAGAACCACTGATTGGTATTGAAGTGTTTGGAAGTTTGAGTCTTTTTTCTCTGTTCTGTTTCTATAATGACGAAGTACAAAAACTTGGATTGGACTCCAGTGGATGGATTCATGAATCGGCCACAATCAAGAATTTTCTTACCCGCCTCCCAGAGTCCCAGAGTCCCAGACTTCCAGCTGCACAATTGATGATAGATAAGAAAATCTCATTGGTGAAAGACGAGGTTGCTCCTCCTTCTCCGTGATGGCGCAGTTTCAGACAGGACCGGGGGTGTAGGGAATGATTTGGTTCAGGCTTCCCTGCTTCCTCTCTTTCTCTTGCTTCTGTGCTTTCTGCCGCGTAGCTTTTGGAAGAGCGGTAGCCAATGGTTCCTATGGCTCACCACCTGGCAAAAAAAAAAGATGAGTGAAGCCCGCCCCCGTTCTGGTAGTCGAGGCCGTCCGGTGTCCCGACCAGTCCCCATGTCGATCCACCAGTCCCATTCTGGCTAAGCCCCTTGACGGGGACCCCTGACGCCAATGCAGGGGCGCGGACGGAGTGCGGTTGTTGCGGGCTGGGACGGGTGGGATGCAGAGTTGATTTTGTGCCTGTCCATCACCGTACACGTACATAAAAAGGTACCGTTTTACTGACTTTGACTCGGCACTAGCCTAAGATTTTGCCCCTGAGTCTACTACGTAGAGTTTTCTTCGCTCGTGTATCTGCCAGGCCAAGGAGGCACTGGGCTCGGCGTCACGCGTGGTCGCTGACGACTGCTGAACCTTAGTCACCGGGCAACAGGACAAAGACAACGTACGGGAAAACGGCGGAGGAGGTTGGATTACTCGAGAATGTTCATGATTCACTGTTGGTCACCGGTGTTCCTCAGTGTCTCTGATTCAGAGCGGAATTGCCGAGACCTGCTCCTCCTCGAGGCATTGTTTCAGACTCCACAAGAAAGAATGGGCGAGCAGTGTATCTTTATGTAAGGTTAACTTGGTGTTCAGACGTTTTCCCACGGCATGGCGTCACGGCGTGCGAAGTGTGTGTCCGAATAGAAACTTGGATGGATCGAATCCGTATGACGGTTTATACGGAAGGCTTACCGTGCCTTACTGCCGTTTAATGCTCCCTAGGATAGAATGTACGTATCTGTGTCTACTCCGTATACCTACTTTATGTAAGCTGAACGCAGATTGGAAGCTGGGTATCAATCACCTTCCTTGCTGCCCGCAGCGGCCCTGTCCAACGGTAATTTGATCGCAGGCGGGAAGGTCAGGCAGGTCCCATCTCTGCGTGATTGCTTGTGGAAAGTGAAGTGTCTTATGTAAGGCGGTACCTGAGCGACCCAGCCGATTGAGCCCTTCAAATAAGTACCTTTACTCTGATGCTTGAGGCTTGACAAAGGTCACTTGTCGGTACGTATCGTCGTCGCTCACTTCCAGGCAAATTGTTCCTTGCTCCAATCCCGGACCCTCAATCTCTTGTTTCCTCACACCAACAAGGACTTCGACCACGACGGGCCAGTCTAGACTGTTCGACCACACGACACCGCGGCTGGCCTAGACAGATGCCAGCGGGGGGCTCAGATGGGGTGTGCAGGTGCTGCCTTAGTTTGACTTTTTTTCCTCCCGTCTGATTTTGCTCGCAGCTGCAACTTGCAAGACCTTGCGCCGCCGTCTGTTTTCACTTTGCATCAATGCCCGGTACGTACTGCACTATTGACAGAAGACTTTCGTAAAAAACTAATGCGCATTCGCAGCCTTTCCACCACAGTAAGCTGATGTTTACCATCTACCGGTCGTCGTATTCACTACCCGCCCCCTCTTCCTCGCAGTAGCCGCCCGCCACCGCCGCTAATACGCCTCGCGCCGTCGAACGGCCAAGAGAGATAGAGTCGGCGACAAGCAAGCCGCACCATGGCATGCTAATGCCAGTGCCGCCGCCAGTCTGGCGCCATGGTATCCTCACACTACTTTCCCCCAGACCACGCTGAGGAAGTCAGGAACGGGAGGAGATGATGGGCTGGTTTGGCGGCGCTGGGCTCCAGAGAGGACCCAACAAGGGACCCAGTTCGTCAGCGCCGCTGCGTGGGTCGACCCAATCCTTGGGCTATTACTGGACATTAGAATCGGCGCAAGGGCAGAGACGCTCTTGAGCAGGGTTGACGGCCTTCCGGCTGGTTGACGTTCCTTTGCACTCTGGAGCTTTTGGAGGTGCCTGGATGGGGCAAGGATCATGTCAGGGACGAGGTTCCAATCGAACCTGCGCCCGGTGGAGGTGACCAGGATGTTGAACACGACCTCCCACAGATGGTTCCTCTCCCCGTCTTGTCTTGTCCCAGTGGAAGGAGGGAGGAGGAGGAGACGGATCAGAGACGGTGCTAGCAGCTGTGGTTCTGTGGACGAAATCCGTCAAGCAGCAAAGCAAGAGGGAAAGCGCGAGTGGCTCGGAGACCGTCCAGATTGTTCGTACCGTTGTTCGTCTGCGTCTGGTGTGCGTGCGTTACCCCCATCCACACCAATCCGCACGCCATCCCAGGGTCCATGTCCCTCTTTGCATGGGGGGCCCGTGGAGGAGAACAGACGACGCTGAGGTCGCTTCCAGGCTTGGGGCCCCATCTCCCGCCAACCATCGATCGCCAATCGCTTCCCCTTCTCGCTCGTTCGTGTCGTTCCTTTTCCTCCTCTGTCTCTCTCTGCGTCTTGTCTCTGCTCCCTCCCTCCCTCCTCCCACTCCACCACCACCTCCTGACCGGCGTGCATTCTCAGCATCGTCACCTTTCGCTCGTTTCATATACCCGCCCGTGGACTTTAGCCTCTTTTTTCAGCCACTGTCTCTCTCTTCGCCTATCTGGCTGTTGAAGAAACTCTCTCTCACTCCAACACACTGCTCACTCTCTCGATCTATCATAACCTCCGACGCCCACTTCACCACCATAGGTTTACAACCTGCTTCCGCTGATCCATCTCTTTCGGCGTACCAGAAGCCTCATACGGGCTCATCCCATCGACACCCTTCGGGCTCTGCAGAGGGACCTCGCGGCCAGCCCATATTCCTCTTCTTTCCAGGTTGATCCTCGGCCTCTTTTATTTCATCTCTCTCGTGTCATTCTGTAGAAAGCTGTGCTTGCTTCTTGTTAGCCTCTTACCATTTCACAATCCTTCGACTTCACTAGTACAATCCGGTTACTTGTTTCCTTTGGTCCACGACTCTCGCAATATACCCTCCCGACGCGACGACGACTCCTCGAATAGTATCACTCAATTCACCAAAGAAAACTCACAACTCGGTCCCCGACGAACACGGAACCCCCCCTATCTCTCACCACCAAACTCGTTATCAAAGCGTATCAATCTGTTATAGCAGGGAAAGGGACGACATCAATCGCTGGGAGTACAGGAGAAAGAAGCACAAAGAGGCTCAAAAAGTATAGACTTTGGATATACCCACCATCACACGGCTTTGGGAAACTTTTTCGATTCCCGACAGAACGACGAACAACGAATTTTCAACCACAACTTTGTTTTTACAACACAACAAAATGACGCGAACCGCGCCCAACTGGGGCCCGAAGCGTCTTTTGGCCTTGGCCACCGCATTTGCCTCTGGCACCCTCGCCGACTCCATCCTCAAGACAAGCAGCTTCACGACTTGCGGCAACGATACCGCGATTTCCGTCCAGAAGATTGACATTCAGTACAACAACGACAACAAGACCGTCACCTTCGATGTAGCAGGAACGAGCTCCAAGGTTCAGAACGTCACAGCCATCTTGGATGTCAGCGCCTATGGCACTGCCATCTACTCCAACACCTTCAACCCATGCGAAGCAGGAACCTTTGTCGAGCAGCTCTGCCCTGGTATGTGCTAGCTGTCGATGAGTTGACGTTTCGATTACGGAAAATGCTAACAAATCTCAGTCCCCGCCGGCAGCTTCTCTGCTCGTGGCACTCAAAAGATTCCTGATGAGTATGCCAGCATGGTCCCGGATATCGCCTTCGCAGTCCCCGATATCGCCGCTCAGGCTAAGCTTCAGCTCAAGACCCTCGATACCAACGAAGAGGTCGCCTGCATCACGTCCCAGGTCACCAACGGTAAGACCGCCAGCGTCGCTGCCGTCTCTTACATTGCCGCCGGTGTTGCTGGTCTCGCTCTTGTCGCCACTGGTGTGTCTGCAGTCAGCTCTGCTTTCGCTGGAGGCAGTGCCGCCCTCAGTGGCAGCGGCACTGGAGGTGCTGGTACCATCAGCCCCAGTTTCACAGAGGTTTTCGGATGGTTCCAGGGTATGGCCATGAACGGCATGCTTTCTGTCAGCTACCCTCCCGTCTACAGCAGCTTCGTCAAGAACTTTGGCTTCTCTTGCGGCATCATTCCCTGGACCGACATGCAGGTCGCTATTGACAACTTCCGTGGTGCGACCGGCGGTGATTTGAGCAAGGACAGCGTTGAGATCCTCAAGAACAGCACTCTCATTCTCGCCGACGGCTCCACCGTCGACGGTGGCAGCGCCCTATTCAAGACCAAGCGTGCCGTCGAGACATTCCAAGCCCTCGTCCTCAGAGAGATTGAGACCAGCGTCAACGGTACCACCAGCGGTGACTCTGACGACCCGGTCACTACTATCAAGCAGAAGGTTCAGGGTATTACTGCCTTTGTCAACACTCTCAGTGTCCCCAAGTCCAACACCTTCATGACCGTTCTCCTCATCGTCGCCATCGTCATTGCCGCCATCATTGTCGGAATTCTCCTCGTCAAGGTCATTCTCGAGTTCTGGGCCCTTTTCGGTAACTTCCCTAAGGGTCTTGCCGGATTCCGTGAGCACTACTGGGGATCTATTGCCCGTGCCATCACCTCGCTCATTATGTTGCTGTATGGTATCTGGGTTTTGTACTGCATCTTCCAGTTTACCAACGGTGATTCATGGGCTGCCAAGGTTCTTGCCGGTGTCAGTTTGGGTATCTTTACTGGCATTCTCGCCTTCTTCTCCTACAAGATTTGGAGCACTGCTCGCAAGCTGAAGCAGGCCGAGGGCGATGTCAGCGGTCTCTACGATGACAAGAACAACTGGATGAAGTACAGCCTCTTCTACGAGTCCTACAAGAAGGACTACTGGTGGATCTTCGTCCCCGTCATTGTCTACCTGTTCGCCAAGGGTTGCATTCTTGCTGCTGGCGATGGCCACGGCATGGCACAGACCTCTGCCCAGCTTGTCGTTGAGGGTCTCATGCTATGCCTTTTGCTGTGGAGCCGTCCCTTTGAGCGCAAGTCGGGCAACGTCATCAACATCACCATCCAGGTCGTCCGCGTCCTCTCGGTTGCCTGCATCCTCGTCTTTGTCGAGGAGTTTGGCATTGCGCAGACCACCCAGACCGTCACTGGCGTTGTCTTGATTGCCGTCCAGTCCGCTCTGACCGGTGTGCTCGCTCTTCTGATCATGTGGAACGCGATCAACGCCTGCTGCAAGGAGAACCCCCACCGCAAGCGCAGAAAGGAGATGGGTAAGTCTGCTTCCGCGCTTTTTGAATACCACGTTACTGACCCCCTTTACAGAGAAGATGCAGCGCGACATGGACACCCTCACTCCTCTGGACGCCCGCAACTCCCTCCTCATGGACCGCAAGGATCCCGAGGCCGGTACCACCTTCTCCATGTCGAGCGTCCCCGAGAAGAAGGACCACCGCCCGGAGTCTCCCGACCACTACATGGGCGCAGCGGGCAATGCTCCCTACCGCCCTCTGGCGCCAAGCACGCCTTATGGCAACGCCCACCACGACCAGAGCCGCGAGAACCTCGTCCTCGGCGCGGCACCCATCGCCGACCGGGCGCCAACACTGCCCAACGTGGGCGGCGACTTCAACCACAACCCCCACGGCGGCTATGGTGGTGGCGGGTACCGGGGTGTGTATCACTGAAAGAAAAGCTGAAAGAATCGGGAGACGGCTTGACTGGCGTGTGTACCTGTTGGAATGACAATGAACATAGAAGTGTGGAATGTATGACATATGGATCTCTCTTAGCTGTTCACAGAGATTCCAGAAAGGAAGCCACTTATATCCTATTTACTTTTTCCTTTCCTTATTTCTTATTTTATATTTTCAAAAAAACTTATTTCCTTGGGTCTGCTCATCATTTGTCCGTCTCTCTCATTATTCCTCTCAAAGATATCTACGGATATACACAACAACGTTTTACACCCTCTGCAAACACCAATGGTTATGATATCGACGGCTGCCTCTCTGTGTTTCTCGTTTCTTTTTGCCTTTTTGTCGTAAAGGAGAAGAGGAAAAAGGAATTGGAGGGACCCTTGTATGCAGTCGTTATCAGCAACTTACACAACCAAGCAGGCCCGGTATCCCCTGTGGGGATATACATGTTTTATGACCGCAAGGTAATCTTCTTCTTTGGGGTTCGAAAGGCGGAGGGTTTGCATAGCGGAGGAAAGGGCCTCGGATAAGTATATACCTACAAATGGAACGGAAATTAATAGTCTTAAGTGTGTGATTATTGAGTGATGAGTGATGAGTGAAGTTGAAGGGAAGAGGCTGACGATGTAGACGATATCAGACCATTGGCTCTGGGAGTGTGTGTATTGTGATAAGTTCAGGTACAGCGGTCTTCCCAGAGGAGTAAGAAACTCAAGGCAGCTCAACAAAGAAAATGTTCAGGAAACCTCGCTCGCCTTTGTCTTGTCGCTAAGGAAGGAACACATGGCAGGGACGGGCCACTCTTTCTTTCAGCGTTTTTGGGGCACAGTTGCCTCCGTTAGACCGGCGTGTGCGAGAGATTGCATCTAGGCACTGTAAACCATGCACGAAACACTATTGAGGCACAGTGCGAGCAGAAAGGGCTGCCCCTCATCACCCCACTGAACGTCATCCCCACGACGGCAACTCAAACTTCCAAAGTTGGTCTCCCAGCATGCCACTTGGCTCAAAGTTGGCGGTTCCAGCCTTGCTCTGCATTCGTTTCTTCCGCCCCTTTTTACGGGCCTCGTCTTGCGGCCATCTCAGTTACACGGCTCTGATCGTCTCTGATCTCTCCCCTCATCAAACTTTCCTGCATCTGCAACCATCGGCTTGGCATCCCGGCTGGTCGGCAACGCCTGCAGCACACACACACACAAACGGAAGCCACGCCGGAAGTTGCTCTTGCCTCACTATAGAAGGCATAGGGAAGAGGAAAAGGGGAAGCAACACCATCCACCTGTTTTGGCAGAAGCTGTCGGCAGATCCCAAGGCCAGCCCAACATGAGTGAGTTGCAAAGAGCTTGGGCCAAGAGGAAACTCGACCCCATGCATCCTCTACCGGAGCCCCTCAACGACCTCGACGAGGAACCCGAGACCGATCAGCTCCCCGAGTTGCCGGAGCACATGGACGACGGAGACTCCTCCTCGGCCTCGTCCGCCTCCTCCGCTTCTTCTACCGGCACAATCATCCCATCTCCGAGTCAGAACCTCTTTGCTCGACCGCAAGGGTAACGTACTTTCCTCTTGCCCTCTGCTGTTCTTCCCCTCCCGCCATTGCCACGAGGCCCGAGGAAGGAAAACAAGTTTGCGCTCACACTAAGACGCTGATATCCGCTTCTAGTGTGTCGAGGGGCCGCACGCTGGAGCAAATCCCGTGGACAACCTACTTTGAGAGAGAATTGTTCCTGAAGCCCAAGGTCGGAGACGATGACTCTGCCACCGTGACGTACCACGCCTACCTCAATTCCCCTGTCGGGAAGGGACCCCTCTTCGTCATGCACCACGGCGCCGGCTCTTCTGGCCTCTCATTTGCGGCCCTCTCGTCCGAGATTAGGAAACGCCTCCCCTCGGCCGGCATTCTTTCTCCGGATGCTCGCGGCCATGGCTCGACAGTCATCACGGACGGCACCGAGCTCGACCTCAAGCTCGACGTCCTGACGGAGGACCTGTTCAGCGTCATCCAGCTGACAAAAGCCCAGATGTCTTGGCCTGAACTTCCTCCCGTCATTCTCATCGGACACTCGCTGGGCGGCGCCGTCGTCACGGATCTAGCCAAGTCGGGGAAGCTGGGCAACGCCCTGCTCGGCTACGGCGTTCTGGATGTCGTGGAGGGCTCGGCAATGGACGCTCTGCAGAGCATGCTCACATATCTCTCAACGCGGCCCACCGGCTTCGCCAGTTTGCAGTCCGGTATAGACTGGCATATCCGCTCGCGCACCGTCCGCAACTCGGTGTCGGCGCGGACGTCGGTGCCAGCGCTCTTGGTGTACGACGACTCCACCGACCCGACGAGGCCGTGGCGGTGGCGAACGGATCTGGCGGCGACGCAACCGTTCTGGGAAGGCTGGTTCGTCGGCTTGAGCAAGAAGTTCCTCGAGGCGAGGGGTGGAAAACTGCTTTTGCTGGCGGGTACGGACAGATTAGACACGGAGTTGACGATCGGTCAGATGCAGGGTACGTTAACGTTGCTCTCTTTTCCCCGTACCATTCTAGCTAGATAAGAGCTGACTGACACCCTGGCAATAGGCAAGTACGCATTACAAGTATTCCCGGAAGCCGGACACTTCATCCAAGAGGATCTACCAGAGAAGACGGCGCTGGCAGTCGTTGACTTTTACAGGCGGAACGACAGAAGTGCCTTGGTGTTGCCGCCCAAGGTTGGCGACTTACTGAAGCAAGGCAAGAGAGTCTAGGGGTACTGTGCGAATATCATTCCATAGCAAAAGCATACAGCCGCCCTTTTCTTTTCTCGTACATTCATAGTTATACCCCCAGCTTTCGTGAGCTTGGTCAAGCAGATGAAAGGCAATCTATGCGATGGATCTACCACTGAGTCTAGCAAATGTTCCAGTACATCTCATTACTGTGGGACCCTGAACCTCTCCCAGCTTTCTGTTATACCAAACATCGACTTTAATAAGTCTAAGCCTAGCGTCTTCAAGTCGTAGAGGACATCTGCGGTACACTGCCAGTAAGTACAACCGCATGAACTTTATTTGAACTCAACAATAGCTTCAATAGGAAGCAGTCATTTCTCCGAGCATGGTAAGATACGCGCAAGGCGCAGTTCCACAGGAAGTTTAGGGTTTTTAACCAAATAAATATGTCTGACCTCAACCTCTAGTTGCTGCCCTTTGACCGTCTCTGGCCCTCATTGAGACCCTTTCTTTCGTTACTGGCCTGTGTTCTGTTTCTGTTCCTCCTTACGTAAAGTGCCCCAGCTGGGCAAGGCGGTTTACTTTCATATCGCACAATCTCAGACAGCAAGGTCAACTCTCCCATAGCTGGCCAACTGGGCATCCATTGGATACATTCCATTCTGTGGTGAGATCCTCTTCTCCGTACCCTGTAAGTGACCCTCCTGAGTGCTCTTTTCCCATTTTTGGTAGCACCTCGGTAGTAATTGCTGTTTGAAAGTCCAAAGCCTCTATCTTCCTCCGTTCTAAAGCGCGTATATCATTGTGGTTGAGAAAAGAGCCTTTTGTCGGTTTGATTGCGTCTTGAACATATGCGTTTCTCTCTAAGCCGAAAGCCCGAGAGGTGCATACGTTCGTTGGGCGACTTGCTGCCTGTAGAATGCTGCTTTCTAAACTCCTAATACGTGTGAGTAGCTCTTGGCCCTTGCCGTCGGGTCGTTTGAGTGCACCATCGCCTCTATCAATTCTCGCACATGTTGCGGGAGCCTAGTGAATATCTCGTCGCGCGAAAAGCGGCTGGCGTGGTTGTCGCATATTTTCTTACTCAGATAACAACTCGAATCAGAGACCGCTTCTTCGCCCTGCTGACTGGTGTTCCAGATTGGGTATGTATCATGTATAGAATGTACGGGGGAGAAGCTCCCAGTGCCATGTTATACCTCCCATGCAAGGTGTTGTGGGATTCCGGGAGTCATGAGGGCGTAAAGCTTGTACCAAACGCAAAGAAGCGGCGATAGTAGGCTACTATGTGTTTGCCGAAGGACTCTCTCCCAATCGTGAACCGGCTTGAGGAAAACATTCCTGACCCTGGGACCCCCAACCGGATCTATTTAAAGGTGGGAATCAAGCGCTTTGTAATTGCGATAGAGCGATCGCGCTCAAGGCAAGCTGGTAAGAGATTTCGGAAGAAGGTGCGGATAGAGGAGGTAAAAGTCTGGCTATGGCAGTTACAAGAAGATAATGATATACATACAACAAGATCTTCTTCCTTCGTTCTCGTCAGCCAAGTCCAGGAACGTTCAGAACGTAATTGCGACTGGGAAGTAAAAAGAGTTCACCCCCCCGGTGCTGAACTGGGGGCTACATCTCTTGGTGCTCATGCTGGGAAGTTTCTAGGTGCTCATGCCGGGACTCGAACTCGAATTCGGAGCCTGTCGTCGAGTAAGTTGTAGGCGTAATCGCTAGTCGACCGTGAACCACTCCACCACCCAGCCAGTTTGACCTGACCCGTCGAGCCAGACGGGCGCCTGCTGGCTGGTGACGGGAATGGTGTTGAGGGGGGGTATATAGCCTTCTCTCGCCGGTAATGTGTGGGAAGGTGAGGAAGGTACGGGCCGGTCGTGCCTGCCTGAATGACCAAAAGCATTTCAGGTTTGTTTACCTTGGTCTAGATGCGTCACCTACCTATCGTACCCGGCATAGAACTCAGCGATGTAGATTGCTTGCTGCGAAAGGGGATAAAGGGTTGAGAATTACCATGGTTTTCAAGATGTTAATAAGCTGTTTACGGGAGGACTTGGTCTCTTTCTGGGCGGACTCTCTTCCCTTGATTTAAAACCCCAATTGATAACCTCTCATGTTCAAAACGAATATGTGTTATTGTTTCCAACGCCATGTTCTTCTATCCTTTCCCAAGCACCAAATGCTATCCAGAACACTCTGCTGGGACAGACCTCGCTCGTCTGCGCGCTCAGCGTGCCCCCTTTTCCCATTATATACGTCATTTTGTGTTCTTCACACATACCAGGA